AAAAAACAAGTCTGATCCAGGCATCACCTCGCAACTTAAAGGATTTAAAGGATCTGCTACTGATGGCTTGGTGCCAGATACCACAGCATACTTTCAGAAGTCTAGTGGAGTCCATGCCTCAACAGGTTAGGGTTGTTTTGGCAGCAAAAAGGGACCTACTTATAATTAGGCAGGTGGTCATAAAGTTATGGCTGATCGGTGCAAATGTCCTAAGTTATCCAAGTGTGCTTAAAATACATGTATTGTCCAGTTTTACTTAACCTAGTAGGGAGAAAAATCCAATCTGTTTACTGCTCCTTTTATAAAACAGTACGCTGGAGAAATGCACCAAACTGAAGCATCTTTTCATCTGAACTAAGCAGGAAACTAGATCACACAGCTTCACATCCTGCTGAACAAGACAAAGACATATTTTTTAGCCAGTATGACCCTTTCGTTACCTTATTTGAAGACAAGACAAACATTTATAGAACAATTTTCCAGAAGTTATAAAAAGTATTGTGCAATATCAGGGAAAGCATATATTAACCTAAAGTTGATAATTTAGCAAATAAAAAGAAAAGTGACAGTAAACTCAGGACATAAATCTTAAAAATGCATTCATGTGCCTTAACTATTAACAAAAATATATCTTATTTGTGTATCACTCAGCTGTAGACACTCAAATCATTTTTGAATTGGTGCTGACACTGTCCTTCCTTCTGGAGGGTGGAATCTTTTCTTTCCCATCGTCCCTGTGTGTGTTGTAAACTAGCTACCGCTCCATGCTCACTCTTCTGATGGATTATAACTTCAATACAAATTAGTAAACTAAATGTGAGATTGTAGTCTATCATAGGAGCGAGCTTGGAATGGTGGCCACCCTCCAGAAAAAAGGACAATGTCAGCACAAAATTCAGAATTGATTTGAGGATCCACAGCCGAGTGATACACAAATAACCTACATTTTTGTTAAAAGTTAGGGTACTTGAATGTATTTTTAAGATGAAACTCCTGAGTTTAGTGTCACTTCAAGGGTTCGTTCACACCAGATGCAGTGCATTCCGGCCCGATTCTGGCCAGAACGCACTGCATCGCATTGAGGCCGGCTCACTTTTTTGTTTGGCAGGAGGGGGCGTGGCGGGCCATTGAAGTGAATGGCACCGTAGCCACGCCCCCGGGCCGCAATCCGATCGTCCACACGCGAGCGCAAGGCACATTGTGCCTGCGGTCCGGTGTGGTCCGATCAAAATAGTGCTTGCAGCTAAAAAGTGGGCCAGCCGCAATGCGATGCAGTGCGTTCTGGCCAGAATCGGGCCGGAATACACTGCATCTGATGTGAACGAACCCTAAATGCATATAGACCAATGTGCCCTTCAAAAGAGATTTCTATTCCAAAAAGTTCTGTGTTCAATCTAGCAGCCTATAGTGCTCACTATATACAGTATGTCACTTGCTACCAGGAAAACAATATATAAATCTTAATACTAATGGAAAGGTCCTGGGTATAGCACCTGTAAATGGTAACTAATGAAGTACAGAATACAAAGTCAATGAGCACTACACACCACTAACCACCAAGCAAGGCAGGTAGTGGGGACTAATATGGGAAAAATATACCAATGTTATAATTGGAATTGCTGTCATTAACAACGCGCTAGAAATTAGCTCACAGATAATAAGCACTAGATATTAGGTCGCTGGTTAATTTGGATAACAATAGTAGCGATCAGACAATTCTAAAAACAGAAACATTTATACAAAATTCTCAAACTATAAATCCATGTAATAAAAATATACCTATTTAAAATATTTTTTATAGTTGTTTTCTTTTTTGAGGGTGGGGTAAGGATGTTTTTTTTATGTTTTTTAATGCTTTGTGTTTTTATTTTTTTATTTTTTGCAATTGTGGTAACATTTATGTCAGGTAATCTCTCCTTTTTTCATAATTGGAGCAATAGGATGAAAAGGAAAGATGGCACCTGATGGTTCTGGGCCCATTTTTTAAATGAAAGTCAAATACCATTTTAAGCAATGTTAGGTGCTCAGTGTTCTAATTATATTTAACCTTGTACTTTATGTTCACTAGGCTGAGATGGATACTGAGCTGTTAATTCTGCGTGGGCTTGTGGTACCTGGCTTACTCTTGTACATATCATCTGTCAAACGGTCATGTCTGGGTTTTATTCTTAATAGCTGATTCGTTTTGGTTACTGCTATGCTTTCCCAAAAATGATCTGGTAATGAGCAGATCATGCAGTAAACTATTCTAAAGTATTATAGGGCCTGTTTATAAAAGGGTAACATTTTGCTGCTTTTCCGAGTATTTTATTGATTCTGCCTCTATTAATCTCTTTATAGAGTAACAGATATTTTATTTCCTTAGGGTTTCCATTGCTTTGCGTTACCACAAAATCCATTTTAATCCCTTTTTGGAAATTTCAACCAATTTGAAAATAGTCCAAATGATCTTTTATTTTCTGTGGCTAAAGGCCAGGTGTTATACAATATTGTAAATGGATGTATGCTATCTTAAAGCCAAACTGTACTTGCAGTTTAGATCAGCTAAATCTATTCCAGGTGCACTAAAATAGTTACAATGCATTTTTAGCAGAAAGAAGCCACAGCCTAAGTAGAAAATCCTGCCCCCTGCCAGATTGTTGTAGAGAAGGAGCCTTGATCTATGTGTGAAACCAGTGGTATTTCTGTAGAGGTTGACATGCCAACTATTGAGTCAGACCAATATCTTTGCAATCAACAAAGCTCTTGCTCTCTGCTGATTGGAGAGTTCTATCCCTGGCTCAGCAGGGGGTTGGTCAGAACTTTGCAGAGAGACCACTGCTTCCAAATAGAGAACAAGACTCCTTCCCTACAGCATGCTGCCAGGGGACAGGCTTTTCTACACACTTCTACTTACTAAAGAAAACAAACTGTTTGACTTTAAACATCTTTTGTTATGATTTCCTTACAATGTATTTAAACTCTGCCTACCAATGCCTCTAACAGTGCCCTCTCCCATGCTCATAATAGCAGTATATCTTTCTGCCTGTGGCCATGATCTTTCTGGTTAGGTGCTGACAACAGAGGAGGAAACAGTATATATATCTATATATCTATATATAGATATATAGATATATAT